GGGGAAGACGGATGAGATACCAGGAGCTGGACCATTCTCCTGCCAAAACACCATCCTGCCATCAACCCAAAGACGCTGCTACCCCCATCCCATTGCTTTTCCTGGCAAGGCAACTGCCCAGGGGCTGGGGGCAAGGCAAGGGGCTCTCACCCGTGTGCGTCTTCATGTGCTCGTCGAAGTACTGCTTCATGTTGAAGTCCTTGCCGCACCACTGGCACATGAACTGCTTGTGGCCGATGTGGATGCTCATGTGGGAGCGCAGCTGGTACTTGTACTGGAAGCGCTCATTGCAGTTCTGCAGGGGCAAGAGGGAGATGAGCTGCTGACGAGCACCCAAAACACCCCGCACTTTCCCCCCCAGGTCACCAGCATGTTGGAGCAGTGCAGAAATTACTTTTCAATCCCCCAAAGGAACCCAAGTGAATGTCTTTTGAGGACATACCCATCCAGGTTTGCAGGCTGGAAGGGCTTGGGGTGGGATGCCCAGGCACTGGCGGGACAGATCCTGGCACTGGACATGTTTCATCATAAGGTTGGTGGGACCCTCAACCCAGGAGCGCATGTAAAGTTTGGAAGAGTGTGGAAGCTAGAGCTGTGCTGGCACAAAGCATGGGGGAAGCCCCAAGAAGTGGAAGATCTTTCTACCAAAGGAGCATTTTCGTGCCATGGGGCCATCACAGTATCCTACCTCGCATTTAAACGGCTTTTCCCCAGAGTGCTGGAGCGAATGGACCTTGAGGGACATGCTGCGCTTGAAGGACTTCCCGCAGGTCTCGCAGGTGAAGGGCATGTCCTTGGTGTGAGCTGAGGTGGAGAGGAGCAGGGTCAGGCACCCTCCCCACACCCCCAGCATACATCTCCCCAAATGCCAGCGGCCGCTCCCAACGCTGATGTCCAACCCCAGCAAACCCAAAGACCGCTCGGGAAGACGCATGGCAGCAACGTATCAGTTATTCCTTGAATTGCCTGCCAAAACCTGCTTTTTTTGCATCTCTCTGGTGCCTGCAAGTCCCAGGGACTTGACCACTGTTGCCATGTGGAATTTGCTTTTCAAAGCCTGGTGCTGGTGTGGTCCCCTCCTCTTTTGCAAGGGAAGGATGGTTACACTTCAAATCCTCCTTTGATCACTTCTGAGGTCTATTTTTTCTGGTTAAATAAAATAAATGAGATTCCCCAGTGCCATGCCTGATTGCTCCAAACCCAGCACCGAGCAGACAGACATTCAGCATTAAATACTGGGCCACATTTCAAGGCCCCTGAGAAAGCTCACCCAAGACTAAGCCCAACCCTAAACGCCCAGTGAGACAGCGACAAAAAAACCCCACTCTGTTGCCAAAACGATGGATGAACACCCCTAATAAGATCTCCCCGTGGCACCGGCGCCTCCCGCACTCACCAACCATGTGTTTGCGCACGTGGGCCATGGTGTAGAACTTCTTCTCGCAGATCTCGCAGGAGAACTTCTTCTCAGCGTAGCCGTGAACGATCTTATTGTGCTCGTGGAGGGACCAGAGCTTCTTAAACCCCTTCCCACATGTCACGCACTGCAAGGAGGAGAGGGGATGGGTAGGGAAGCAGGGGAATGTGCCCAGGCACCAGCAGTATTTTTCTTTAACCAGGCTCTCTGCTTCACCCATGAAACCCACAGTTAAGACAGCAAAAATGATAATGACCAGCAAGTCTGCTACAGACCTTGTCACTTCAGAACCTCCAAGACTCAAATTTCTATCCATCGGATGAGGAAGGGACAATAACTTTCCAGAGAAGGACGTGGCATCTCCACCAACGGATGTATTAGGACTTGCATAATCCACAGCTCACACACCAAGGCCCTGTTCCCAACTGGGGATTTTATTATTGCATGCAATGAAGCTGTTACATTAAAAAAAAATTCCTAACTCTCTGCGCATTAGAAAGCTGCAAAGAATATAGGAACAAGGAGAAGCCCAAGCCAGGGAAGTGAAACTTCAGTCTTCAGCAGACATTATGGATACTTCACCACTAAATATACCCAAGTGGACCAAAATGGACCCAAAAAATAGTCCATCAGTACAAGCAGAACAACGTGATGTGCAAAGTCTCCCTGGGAAGTTATGGCAGAGATTTGTTTCAGCTCCAAATACAATGCTTCTTGGAAAGTTCCCAGGAAAAGCTCCAACTTCAGCATGAGATCAGTTCAGTGCTCAGGGGAAGACGGGAGAGCGAGGTCTGTAAGGGAAACCATTGCTGGAGCATGGGCACAACTGGCAGGACCCAGCCAATGACCCTGCCAGGAGCCAAGGGACACTCCTCCCTCTTCATCTCTCCATGACTCATCTTCGTCTTGGCCAACAGGGATAAAAACATCCCTTTCTCCTCACAGGTGCATTGAGAAAATAATTCATGGCTTGGAGGCATCTAGCAACCGCACTCTGAGTGGTACCAGTAAGCCCAGGGGGGGATTTCCCAGCAGGGCTTGAAGCAGTGCAGGCAGCACAGCCTCCACCTTCTCCTGCCCAGAGGAACAGATGCTTGTTGATGGGCTTCAACCAAATTTTGCACTGAATGAGGCTGTGATGCTGCGCAAAATATACCATCGTGCCATGTAGTCACAGTATCCTGCTATATATATTTAGGTGCCTGGAAGGCAAAATTAGGGTCAGAGAAGCATTCCCAACACCCCTCATCTCCATCTTGCCATGCTTGAATATCAACATGAGTAGTCGTCTGAGTTTCACTGCTCCTAAGTAAATACTTCCATGGATCAGAACAATTCTATTTCTGCTTTAAGAGACATTGCAGGACAAATTCAGGACCAGAGCCTGTTACCAAACACACATCAATATCCATTTTCTCCACTTAAAATGAAAGAGGCTGCAAGGGAATTCTAAAATTAAAGGTAGAGGGAAAGAAGCAGATGTAGGAAAGCCCCCAGGCTGGGACCAAGCACAGTGGAGGGTTCAGCCCTGTGTCCTCAGTTACCCAAGAAAGCGACAGTCAAAAATGTGGAAGTAACCTCCAAACGAAGGAAAAAAATGAAAAGACAAATTGTTGCAGGTTAAGAGGAAAACGACACTGGAGCTGGCAAAAAAAAAAAAGTTTGAGAAATAACCTGATAAAGCAAAGGATTAATTGTTTTTCAGGCGGTGGCAGAGGAGGGATGCCTGCTACGGAGTCCACAGGGACACAGACAGTGATGGGAAACGATCACAGGGAGGAAGATGAAGCTTAACACCTAAGCCATCGCGGATAAAATTGGGGGACAAAGCAGCAAAAGAAAGCAACAGATCTGAATGGGGTGAGAGGGACAGTCCCTCCACGGATCTGGTTAAAAACCAAGTAATAAAGACTGCTAATTAGAGGTATAGAGTCGAGAAAAATCCCTTTTCCATCCAGCTATAATTCCATGGTATATTGATAAAGGTATTCAATATTATCAGAGCAAACGGAGTGAATTTGGCTATTCGTAAAATTAAAAACGCTCGACTAAGTGAGAGGTAATGATCCATGTTTTCCGTGGAGGGAGGTCAACGTGCGGGCAGTTGCGGCTCATCCTATTCAGGAATGATCTGGAAAAGGGATAAAAAGAAAAAACCAAAACCCAAACCAAACGACGAGGTGACAGCACCATGTTAGCCATCAGGAAAGTGGATAGAAATATTTGGGGAGAACTCATGTTTAATTGCCCAGGCTTTACAACAGGCTCCAAACCAGCCACCACCATGCAGGTATCGGAGCTACACCCATCCATTCTGGGAAAATGCATCCAAAAAAAAGCAACCTCAAGGCTGTGAATTTTTCAGGAAGAGGCACTGAAGGACCAGCGCAGGCAGCGGCTCCTTCACCCACTCGAGCCGAGACGCTCCTGCCCCTGTACTCCCCGCACGCCTTAACGCAGAGATCTGCTTCCTCGCTCACTTCGTTTGGGGTGCCATTGGTGAAGGGCTCCAGTGGCACCCGGGTTGTGTTACCTTCAGCTGGGAGAGCTGCAGGATCACTTAAAATCCGGTCGTGGTGGGAAGGATGATGGGCAAAGTTCTCCAGAAGTTGGGTTTTTTTAATTAGTAGTGGCAGAATCGTGCAAAACAGCTCGTTGGGGATTAGGAGACAGGTTGGAGGGGTCTGCAGAAACGCATGTTTGCTGCTCTGATGGGATGCCTACCTGTCCCCCCAAAATTGCACTAATTTAACAGAGTCGATTCGCATACACAGGGTCTTGTTAGCATTAGGCAACGGACACACCCAGCCCGAGCCATGCGTGGACGTCAAACGCATTTGGAAATTTGCTAATACGCAAGCTAAAGAGCACAAAAGGCAGATTAAAACCATTTTAACTTGTGTCAGCAAATCTTTGAATTAAGCTAAATTGGTTTCAGCCTGGGTGGGAACGGCTGGAGTGTGTCTCCATCAGGGGCTCGCAACATTTTATCCAGATTTAACTGAATAAACTCACAGAAAAATTACTCCTCAAAAATTACTCCATGTTTCCATACAGTCGGCCAAGCGGAACCCGCAGTCCCCCAGCATGAATGCTCCAGTCCCATGCCACCGAGCCCAAATATGAGTCATGGGCAATGCAAGGTTCCCTCCCGTCTGCAATGTGCCACCCACAAAAATATTATTTGAGCACGAGCCCATCCAAGGGTGAAGCTGGGTGGGATGTCCCTCCCCCACTGGGAACTCCTGTCATGGTGGGATGCTCCCCCTTGGTGCAATGTCCCTCTCCACAGGGATGCTTCCCCCCTTGGCGTGACGCCCATCCCTGGTGGGATGCCGCCGGGGCTGGCTCACCTGGATGTTCTTCTCGCAGTCGGTCTGGTGGTGCAGCAGCAGCTCGCTCTCGAGCAAGAAGCGTTTGCCGCACTTGTCGCAGATCTGCATGCGGCTGTGCGTGACGTTCATGTGCTTCTCCAGGTACCAGCGGTTGTTGAAGACCCGGGGGCACTTCTTACATGGGTAGTGCTGCTTCTCCTCCAGCTTCACCTTCTGGCCCAAACCGTCCTGCTCCTTTTTCCTCTTCCTCCCTCGCTGGCCTTCCTCTTCCTCCTCCTCCTCCTCTTCTACCTTGGCCACCTCCTGGGACCTGGTTGCCATGGCAGGTTTGGTGACTTTGGATGAGCGGCTGCCTCTGCGGGGCTGCACACCCTTTTCCCTTTTCACCTCCAACGCGTCTTCATCGTCGTCGTCATCGTCGTCTTCTTCCGTCGTCTCCTCCAGGTCTTCCTCCTCACTGTGCTCCTCCTCCTCCTCCTCCCCCACCTCTGCATCCTCCTCCTCTTCCTCTTCCTCCTCCCCTTCCTCGTTCTCCTCCTCCCCATCCTCCTCCGTGTCGCACCCATCACCCTCAGGCCGCCCCATCACAGCCGCCTCGCCGGCGGCCGCCTTCCCCTCCATGCCCTTGGAGACGTTAAGGGTCTGGTTGTTGAGGTTCACCTCTACAATGATCTGCTCCCGCTTGTACGAGCCTTGGCTCTCCAGGTCCTCCTCAGACTCCTCACCCTCTATCTTACACACGGCGCCTGGATCCCCATCCTTCTCCTCCTTGTAGTACTGCTTGGCTGGACCAGGGGGGAGCGTCCCACCCCCTGCTCCATCCTCCACCCGCACCGAGTAGGGGTCGTTGCCTTCCCGGGCATAGATCTTGGGATGGGGGGCATCCACCTCCTGCTTGATCTTGCAGTAGTAGGGCGGGGGTCCGGCGCAGCCCTCGGCGGGCAGGGCCATATCGGTGGCCAGGCTGAGCGAGCGGGTGTCGAGGAGGTCCTGGCAGGAGGAGGCGATGTTGTTCATCTGCAGCACGGCAGCTGCGTTCAGCACGTCCTGCACATTGCCCGAGTTGACGAGGAGCTTGGAGGTGTAGATGAAGTTGAGGATCTGCTGGAGGCCCTGCGAGGTGAGGGCCTCCAGAGAGAGCTCCACGCGCTGCAGCTGCTTGTTTTGGGTGAAGAGCGAGTGGAAGAACTGGCTGTAGGCTGCCAGGACCCCCTTGTGCGCCGGGAAGATGCTCTTGTGCTGCACCAGCACGATGTCCACGTCGCACAGGTCCGGCTGAAAGAGGCGCTGCTCGTTCAGTCTGTCCATCAAACACGTGAAGTGGAGGGCTACATCCTCCACCAAGGAGTACTCAGCCGAAGGGTAGTCAGTCGTTTTTTCGACTATCAGCTGTGGGGAAGAAGGAAATAAAACCATTCAGGAGGGATCTTTCCCCAGGAAAACACCAACCTGGCCATGACACCCATCCCTGTCCAGGTATCCCAAGTCAGAGATGCCAATTGAGAAGCTCCACCAACAACTCCAGCTTGGAGATGCCAACGAAGAAGCTCCACCACCAACTTGAGTCTGGCAGACTCAACCAAGGAGGAGAAAGCCCAACAAAAGGCCAGGCCAAGGCCATATGAACACCCACTGACATCCCTTCAGCCTGGGTAGGAGGCACCATGCCCACCCCACTACCCAAGAGGTCCAAAGCCTGGCTCAGGTGTCCACACTTGCGCAGAGATGTCACGCAGGAGAGGGAAAACCTCAACCTCCTGAACAAGACGGAGACCCTGGAAGGATATTTGCCCCATGCAGGAAGCCCATTTTAGGTATTAACTGAGATTTAACCCTCTAAATAGAAGGAAATTAGGATTTTAAACCTCCCTGCTTCTACAAGATAATTACATAAAGCATAATATCCTCTAATATGTACTGAATTACGCTGTGTGCTCTGCCTCACGTTAGCAGCTAACTCACTAGCTGGATTCACTGGGGTGATTTATGCACTTTTTTAATACCCATTTTAAACTGCCTGGGGAAAGGCACCACCTGGAAAAATTCAAGTCAGGGAGCAGCAGCCCCGGGCTGGGAAATACTATGACTGCCATCACTCCTCAGGCTGTGTTTGCTGGATATTTAATTTTAGCCCACATGCATTTTGCAGGGTGCAGATCCCTCCTGGACACCCATGTGCTCTCCCTGGGAGATCCTTCCTGGATGCCCATCTCCTCTCCCTGGGAGACCTAAGCCCATTCCATCCCAGTCGCAAGGATAGGTTTGCCAACTGCATCCCAAACGCAAAGGATATCCCACGCCCTAAATCCCGCACCCTGTATTAAAAGCAGGTGGGATATCCTCTTTCTCCCTGCTTCCCTTGGGCTTTCCATGCTGAACACCCAATTAATAGATAGAGATGGGTCCGGCCACGTAAACACCCTCCTTCCCCACCATCGTGGGATGTGACCAAGGACGTGGTACAGAGCAGTGGGCCAGATGGAAGGTTCAACCTGCCAGGTTTACCCTGCACCTCCTACTCCAAAAAGTGTTTCTCAGCTCCCACTTTTTCTGGGACAAACGGCAGCTCTTGATCAACACGCAAATTCCAGCAAGACACATTTTGTTTATCCTTTTTTTTTGTGAGCCAAAGGCAAAAGCACACACAGACAAAACTGTTTAAATAATAAAGAGAGGGTGTTTTCTTCTCTGTTTTCTTAACAAGGAAAAAAAAAACCCAAACTCTTCCCCCTCCCTGCCAGAATTTTTCATTTTCACTGAATTTCTGCTCTGCAAGCAGCCCATCTGACCAACGGGGTCGTCAGCTTCACATCATCCCACTGGCCCCGGAGAGCCCCAGCAAACGCTCGCACCCAGGAAAAACGGGGCAAAAACCAGCTCTTCTCCAAATTCTTGGCTCTGCAGCCTGGAGCAGGGCAAAGATGGATTAACAGAGAGGGTTTTATATATATTTATATATTTTTACGG